ATAATGAACAACATGAATTGAATCGCAATCTTCAGCAGTTAAATAATAATAATAATAATAATAATAATAATAATAATAATATAGTAATTGTAATAGTAATACTGATAGTATATATCGTGTTCATGTATTAATAAGATAAGATATAAGATTTACTAGCGTTAGATTACAGTCTCTATCGTGCTGTTAAGAAGTACTTTATTGATGTACCTATATAATTAGACTACAGTCTCTATCGTGCGTTAGATTGCTGTTAAGAAGTACTTTATTGATGTACCTATATAATTAGACTACAGTCTCTATCGTGCGTTAGATTTCCTAGCGTTAAATTACAATCCCTATATCGTGGAGTTAAGAAGTACCCAACACTCTCTATTGAACATTTCACTATTATTACTTTAATTAAAATAATTAGATTTAATTTCCATGTTTTAGAAAATGAAATAAAATATATTCTACAAACATGTTGTTATTTATTTATTTATTATGAAGAATATTTGTATGTTAGATGTTTTTAAAATACTTTATATCTAATTTTACTACTATTAGATTTAATATTTATGCACAAAATTTAAGATAAAAAAATTTATAAAATTCAGGCAAGAAGCATACTAACACTTATAATTATTTTAATTTACAAAATATAAATTATGAAAATTAGATAAATAATTTAAACTAAAATATTAAATAATAATAATAATATAGTAATAATAATACTAATAGTATATATCGTGTTCAGATATTAAGAAGATTCACCTACGTTCTAACTGCTGCATTTTTTATTTAATTTAAAAAAATATAAAGAAATACTAATAACTAATAGATAATAAATATAAATAATAAATCATAAATGATTTGAGTTGGTAGAATTGGATTACGGTTAAGAAGTACTCGCAGCAGATAAGGAGTACTCAACCATTACTATTATGGTGTTGGCCAGTTAACAAGTCATGTTTTAATTAATATTGTAGTGGGATTAAGTATTGAGTATTATTCAATTGTTAATATCTTGTAGTGGGATTAAGGAGTACACGGGCAGTTAACAAGTGTTTTAAGTAATATTGTAGTGGGATTAAATATTGAGTATTATTCAATTATTCAATCGTTAATATTGTGGTAGGATTAAGTATTGAGTATTATTCAATCGTTATAAATCGTTATAAACACGTCTATTCCACAAACATATTATTTATTTATTTATTATGAAAAATGAAGAATGTTTGTGTGTTGCCTGTTTTTAAAATACTTTATATCTAATTTCACTACTATTAGATTTAATATTTATACACAAAATTTAAGATAAAAAAATTTATAAAAAAACATACGAACACTTATAATTATTTTAATTTATAAATTATAAATTATGAAAATTAAATAAATAATTTAAACTAAAATATTTAATAAAAATAATAATAATATAGTAATAGTAATACTAATAGTGTATATATCGTGTTCAGATATTAAGAAGATTCACGTCTTCCTACGTTTTAGTTTAATTTAAAAATAATAAACAAATACTAATAACCAATATATAATAAATTTAAATAATAAATATAAATAATAAATCATAAATGAACACCTTCAGTTGGTTAATTAGATCGTGCAGTTAAGGGATACCCACACTTTCTATCGTGTTGGACAGTTAACACATCATGTTTTAATTAATATTGTAGTGAGATTAAGTATTGAATTATTCAATCGTTATAAATACATCTATTCCTGAATCATTATATCGTATCTTCACTGCAAACACACACGAAAGCAACCAAACAAATAAAAAATCATGGCATTCACTCTCCTTAAGAATGTGAACATGGACAAGAAAAATGTGTACTCCACTATTATTGACGCAGTAAATTCTAAGGAAGGAGGAACATTCTTTGTGTATGGATATGGTGGTACTGGAAAAACATTCTTATGGCGGGCATTATCTGCATGTTTAAGGGGTAGAGGAGAAATTGTTCTAAATGTGGCATCAAGTGGTATAGCTTCTCTTCTATTGCCTGGAGGGAGGACTGCTCATTCTAGATTTAGAATCCCACTTAACCCGGAAGAAACTTCTACTTGCAACATAATTCAATCGAGCCATTTGGCTGAACTGATTGTTCGTACTACACTTATCATATGGGATGAGGCACCAATGGTAAATAAGTTCTGCTTTACGGCTGTCGATAGAACTTTGAAGTCCATTATGCAGGTCAGTGATCCATCTAATGCTACAAAGCTTTTTGGTGGTAAAACTGTTGTTTTTGGTGGAGATTTTCGACAAATCTTGCCTGTAGTGCCTAAAGGAACGAGACATGACATTGTCAATGCTACAATAAACTCATCATCCCTTTGGCCACATATGAAGGTTTTAAAACTGACGAAGAACATGCGTCTGCAGAATGTCGATGATCCCAATGAATATAACGATATGGTTACTTTTTCTAAATGGATTGGAAGTATCGGAGATGGGACCATTGGAGACTCAATTGACGGTTGTGGTAATGTAGATATTCCTTCTGATATTTTGCTTAAATGCGATGGCGATCCGATTGAGGCGATTGTTCATAGTACGTACCCTATGTTTAAAGATACCATCGATGATCCAAGCTATTTGAAGGATCGAGCAATACTGGCCCCAACACTTGAAGTTGTTGAATCTATAAACGAGTACATGACTTCTTTAAATACGACGGATGGTCAGACGTTTCTTAGTTCTGACACAGCATCGAAGTCGGATGGTGGTGTCACTTTTTTACATGAATTGCAGACTCCTGAATTCTTGAACAGCATTAAATGTTCAGGTGTTCCGAATCATGAACTACATTTGAAAGTCGGCACTCCAGTAATGTTGATGAGGAACGTTGATCACTCAAGTGGTTTGTGCAACGGTACACGTTTGGTTATAATGAGGCTAGGTGGTCATGTATTGCAGTGCAGAGTTTTAACGGGTTCGAACAGTGGAGAATTGGTTCTTATACCCAGAATGAGTTTGACTCCATCGGATGTAAGAATACCTTTCAAGTTTCAAAGACGACAATTTCCTTTGATGGTTTCTTATGCGATGACGATAAACAAAAGTCAGGGACAGTCTCTTTCTCATGTTGGTTTATACCTGAAGAATCCCGTATTTACACATGGCCAACTCTATGTCGCTGTTTCACGAGTCACAAATAGGAAAGGATTGAAAATATTAATTTGTGACGATGAAAACAGCTCGAGGACGAAGAACGTTGTATATAAGGAAATATTCAATAATGTGTAATCGTACTGCATAATGTATGAATTATAATTTTTCTTTATTTTATTTTTTTTTAAACAATTGAAACCATAAAATCTAAATTTTCCTCTACATATCTTCCGTGCAAATGCACGGGTAAAAAACTAGTGATGATCTAAAACACACTTCCAAACAGTAGAAAGAGAAAAAAAAAACAAAGGAGTACGCATTTAGATTAGAAACTTTGAAATGGGTTTGTGGTTTGTAAAGATGAATGACTACACAGGTGGGGAGCTCTCAGATTTATGCAGGCGTAAAGGGCCTAGGCACGTGCGAGGAAAAATACCATAACTGCACCATGCGTGCGAGAGATATAATTGGTTGAGATTGATACGTGCCGGAGATGTGGGCCCAGAGATAGATTTAGGCAAGATGGTACCAATGGGAAGAAACATTGGGCCGTTCTGGCAGCCAATGAGAGTAGGAATAGTGGCCTTTTTTTGACATGAGAGGTAACAAAACGGGGCCCATGGATCGGGCAACGTGTACGTTGATGGAAGTTTCAGTACGTGGACGCTCAGGATTCGAAGTAAACTATATTAATGAAGGAAGATTAGGCCACGTGTATGGGTTGATTGGTACAGTTTGTGATATTCAATGGGTTTAGCGTTTTTAACTTTTTATTGGATTTCTTTTAGCGGCAAATACTTTATGAAACTAAAAAAAAGATTACACAAGCATATTCAATGGGATATATATAACATAATAATCTATATGTTAAATACAATGGTGAGGCGTTGATCGGAAGAGTCACAACCGTGCTCTCCTTCCAACATGGGAGTCAAATATAAGAAGCAACCCAAAACAAGCAAAACATACCAAAAAAAAAAAAAATCTACACATGACGGAACTAAAATCTGTACAAGATAAAATTAAACCAATCTTATGTTACTTGCAAGGCTGCAACATGCGAAATTGACAGGGACACAGAAGATTGGTCGAAACACACACAGATAAATACCAAAGAGACACCAACACAATCTATAAGCCTAGCACACAGACAAAAGAAAAACTACCTATAGGATACAGTAAAGCCCTTCCCGGCCACCAACAAGCTTCACCAACACTGCAACCACCCAAGCCGACAAATCAAAGTTGGTCTGCAAAAAAGATTTTGATTTTGACAAATATATTATTTAATGGGGTCTCACCAAATAACTTTGGTTCAACCTGAATAAACCTCTCAAAACCTCTGGTTGGGCTTGATAATCTGGTCTCTTGAGATGAAGCTATCCACGGCGGAGATGATAACCTGTTAGTACGCAAAAGACTTTGGACCGGTTAGAATCGGTCTGAGCTGATCAAGCTTCCTTGTTAGTAGATCGCCTGCGGGCCTGCAAAAACTCTCACACCGATGGGGTTTTGCAGTGAAGAGTCTCCAATACTTAAACGAGCACTTGCAGAAGATGAAGTGCAGCAAATATTATATAGGGTAATAGAGAATGTAATGTGGTAGTAGGCGTACCCTCACTCCCTTATAGGGAGGTAATACCTTGTAACTTATATATCTCACTCACAATACTCAGGTTTTATTAGGGCTGGTATGTTAAATAACATAACATTTATATAAAGCTTAGGCATTTAGGCTAAGTAAATCAGGTTAAAAAAAAAAATCCCCACCCAAAAATCAAAATTGCCAAATCCCGTTTCCGTGCCCCAACCAAACCCAAAATTTACAAACCCAAGTAGCAACACCAAACTGAGAGACCGAGACCGAGAGTGACGATTGAATTTTTTGATGCCACTGATTCACAAATTTCACTCCTCAGTTCTCAATTTGCAATTGTTCACTGATCATCTCGCGCGCGATTGTTCATTCACAAAGCCGAGCTCGAAGGTAGGGGTCGTAGGCCTGGTACTGTTAGTCGCAATTCGTCAACTGAAGCCGCGATTGCCCGTCCGCTTCTGTCACTCGTCGGAGTCGCTTTTGTCAGTCCTCGGCTGGTATTTATGCTGCAACATTTTCTTCTCATTATTGTAAAATTAGGACTGGTATTCCGTATTTTATGCCTGCAATTTGAATGTTATTGAAATTTGAATGTATAACAAAGTGCATTTTGTATATTTGGGCACCATATTTTGGATTTTCGGGCATCATATTTTGGGCACTCTGCTAGTCTGCTTAGTCTGCTATCTGTCTCTCATTACAGAGTCTGCTCTGCTTAGTCTGCTATCTGTTGTCTCTCATTACAGATTTGTAATGGGATTGGCGCCCACTGGGCTGCAGTAAGTGTTGGAGGCCTAATGCACTCATGCTTGCTTAGTCGGTTTTCTTCCGTATAGTCGGTTCGGTTTCGGTTCCCTAGTTTACTGTTACCGAAAATGGCGGTTCAGTATTGGTTTGGCATTGGTTTGGCCTTATGGGTTCGGTAACCGAATCGATACCAACCCTAGGAACCCCCAAATCCAATCTATGGAATTTCTTTTACTTTCTATATATCATCAATTTACAAAATTGTCATCAATGAATTTCCCAAAAAGAACCCAACCCTGAAAACCAGCAACAAGAGGGAAGCCCATTGGAATTTCGTTCTCATATATTGTATGCTTCTCTCTCGATCCACCTCTTGATTTTCTTGGGTTGCAAACAACACCGTGAAAAGACTCAATTTTTCGCCCGCCTGAAATCATTTGATTCTGTGATTCGACGATCTTGAGATGGGTTTGTTCATCCTTCGCCCCCATTGTTGAGATATGATTTTAGGTCACCTCTTTTCTTTGTTTTGTATTTTAATTTTTTGTTTCAGTTTGGATTTGGAAACAGTTTATGGTCTATATGCAAATATATTGCTTGTGTTTGGATTTTTTTTTCATTGAATTTTGTTGTTTTCTTTGGTGCGTAATACATTGATTGAGTTGTTTTCTTGAATTTTTTTTTTTGCTCCTAATACAGATTGGTGGTCCCCGCATTGTTTGGAGATTGTATAAATACTTGGGAAATCCTGTGATGTGGGTTTCGAAATTGGGGTACGAAGAAGATCAAAACTCTTCTGTTGGGTGGTGTTGGAAATTTTGAAACCTGTGAAGCTTTTGTGCAAAATTGTGATGGAGAGTTCCGTTATTTACTGCAGCCACCGTTAATGCTCGCAAGATTTGTCTCCATGCTGGTCTCCAAAATCCGGTCAGTTTCCTCCAAGAAACTCTTCAGAAGCCTCCAATTCGTCCGATTGCAGTCCGTCCCTTCCCTTGCTCATTTCACTCCTTATTTCTCCGATTCGGGTTCCGAGGACCCAAGCCCTGACACGGAATGCAATTATACTGCAAAAGTTTCAAGCAATTGCACCGACGGAAGGAGGAGCTCTTCTGAGCTGAGCAGCTTGGAGGTCGTCGAGATTCTAAAAAACATGCAGGGAGAGCCAAACTCCGCCTTCACGTTCTTCTATCAGCTTACGGAAAATGGTTTCCGGCATGACGTGCGGACTTACTTGGCCATCATTAAATTACTCTGCTTTTGGGGCTTAGACAGAAAGCTTGATTCATTGTTGGAAGAGGTTATTAGCTCGGGAAATGAGTGCCGGTGTTTCGAGGTGTCGGAGTTGTTGGGGGTGATTGCTGAAGAGCTGAGGGCCGGCGGGCCTCGCATTCTGCTTCGGGCCATTGATGCCCTTATCAAGACGTATGTTACTTTAGGAATGTTTGATGAGGCTATCGACGCCCTTTTCGAGACCAAGAGGCTCGGTGTTGGGCCGTGCTTGCTGTCTTGTAATTTCTTGATTAACAGGTTGGTTGGGGGTGGGAAGGTCGATACTGCTGTTGCTATCTATAAGCAGCTGAAGACAATCGGGCTCAGCCCGAATGTGTATACTTATGCGATCATGATTAAGGCATACTGTCGGAACAAGTGTTTTGAAGAAGCTGATAATGTGTTGAGTGAGATGGAAGCAGCTGGGGTTGAGCCTGATTCTTTTATCTACTTTGCTTATCTTGAAGGGCTCTGCATGAACGGCTTGACCGATTCGGGCTACAAGGTTTTACAGTCTTGCAAAGCTGGAAATGTCCCTATTGATGCTTATGCTTACACAACCGTGATTCAGGGATTTGTTAATGAAAAGAAGCTGAGGGAGGCCGAGAATGTTTTGCTCGATATGGAAGAACACGGGGTGATTCCCAGTGAGGCTGACTACCGTGCGTTAGTCCAGGGGTATTGTGACTCTGGGGATATAATTAAGGCTTTGACTATCCATAAGGAGATGGAGGCAAGGGGTCTCAGGACTAATTGTAAGATTCTCACTCCAATCTTTCAGTGTTTGTGCCAGAAGGGAATGCATCTTGAAGCAGTGAACCAGTTTAGGGAGTTTGAAAAGTCGGGCGTCTTTCTTGATGAAGTTGCGTACAATGTTGTTATTGACTCCTGTTGTAAAATGGGCCAGTTAGACGAGGCCCTAATTTTTTTCGATGAGATGAAGTGTAAGAATCTTGTGCCCGATGTCGTGCACTACACCACGTTAATAGACGGTTACTGTCTCCACGGGGATATTTTTGATGCTATAAACTTGTTTGAGGAAATGAACAAAAGCGGTCTCAGAGCAGACATTATTACTTATAACGTCCTTGCCGGTGGTCTGTCTAGAAATGGTCTTTGGGATAAGGTTAAAATCCTTCTGCGTGCTATTGAACGTGAAGGCTTGGCACCGAATGCAGTGACACACAGCACAATCATTGAAGGCCTATGCTTTGGGGGGAAACTGAAAGAAGCTGAAGCATATTTTGTTAATTTAGAAGACAAGACTGTGGAAATTTATGCTGCAATGGTTAATGGATACTGTGAATCGAGCAGGGAAACTGATGGTTATAAGCTATTTCTTAGACTTTATGATCAAGGAATTGTGATAAATAGGAATTCTTGTTTGCAACTACTTAGCTCCCTCTGTGTGGAAGGCAAATTCGAGAAAGCTATCGCGCTATTCGAGATCTTGCTTTCTATTGGTGATGGCCCTAGTAAGACGATGTACCACAAGCTTATTTCCGCTCTTTGTGGTGCTGGAGATATGAAAAATGCCCGATGGGCTTTTGACCATATGGTCAGCCGAGGGCTTGTTCCAGATGTAGTTATTTACACCATAATGATGAACGGCTATTGCCGGGCGAATCACCTGCAGGAAGCCATTGATCTTTTTGATGACATGAAGGTAAAAGGCATCTGTCCTGACGTAATTACTTACACTGTCTTGCTCGACGGGCATCACAAAATAAGTCGGAAAAGGGTGCGATCTCGAAATGCTTGTGAAAGAGGTGAAGACGGAGAGCAGGAAGTTTTATCTTTATGCTGTGAAATGAAGGAGATGGAAGCTAAGCCTGATGCCATCTGTTACACAGCTTTAATTGACAACCATTGCAAAGCAGATAACCTTGAGGATGCTATTTTCCTTTTCAATGAGATGATTGAGCAAGGTTTACAACCCGATACAGTCACATACACGGCCCTCTTATCTGGCTATTGCAAGCGAGGAGATATGGGCATGGCTGAAGCTCTATTGAAAGAGATGAAATCTGCTGGAATAGAGCCAGATAGTCGTACAACCTCGACATATGATCATGGTATTCTGAGGGCAAAGAGAGCGAAGTTTTTGCAGTAATTTCTCCTGGAGTTGTCACTGTAAGATATACTCAGTTTATGTTGCTCTGTAATTATTGTGTATCCTGATAGATGATGCTTTTGATCATTTATTTTTTGTCTTTTCTATTTCTGTGGTATATTTGCTTGCTCAAGTGGATTTCCTTGGTTGCTGAAGTTTGATGCCTTTGATTAGTTGTAGGTATTCCAACTGAAGAAGATTTTTCTGTGGAAAATGGGTCTGTGTGGATTGCACTAGCAGCACTACCCTAGTCAGCTCCATTCACGTGGGTTGTGATGGAGTTTTTGTTCTTTTGCTAGTTCAGGTCAGAGATCAGTTATGCTGTTTCAATTTTTATTGTTCAGCTTCTTTCTTGAAAATGTTTAACATTTCTTGAAAGGTTGGGAATTAATACGAATGGAAGATCTAATTGTTCTGACGAGTGTAAGCCCTTGATCTATACGTGAGAGAAAACTTATTATGGATCTTGAAGATGGAAAGTGGGATAGCCAAAAGCATATCTGGCATCTAGACATGTTTTAAAAGCAACCCGTTTAATAGAATGCTCAGTTTTCATGAATAGTGCTTAAATATTCGAGATCGGCATTAATCTTCTCCATTTTTATATGTGGGTTCTGTAACAGTTTTCCGTGTTAGCTTTGTTGCTTTCTCTTCGTTCTTTTTGTGTGATTCCATTTCCACTTGTTCTTCTGTTCTAATTTGGCTTTTTTTTTAGGTTTATACAATTTTTTTTAATTTTAGGAATTGTGTAATTCTGTGTGAATGATTCCGAGATTTCTAATATTGTTGTATATATTGTACGCAATGGGTTTTAGGTCATGTTCTGTGGAGTCCCCGCCACCCGGCAGATGGGCCACACCCTCAATGTATTTATTTGGGCTCGAGAAAGTGTTGCGAGAGCCATCCCTTGCTGGAGAAGGTAACGTGAAAATTTCGCTTCGTGTGATGTTGGTGTGACACTTGTGGAGCTTGTGGCTCAATGTCTCGGCTGGCTAGACTTGGTAGGCTTTGTAGGCTTATGGGATATATATATATATATATATATATATATATGTATATAGTTTAGAGCATTCCATCTAAGTCCGCCTGCATCATCAGAGTCTGATGAGTCATCAACACCTGACATTGGCTATCAGCAGAGAATTGATGCCTTTTCATTAGATGAAAACTGCAATGAACCTTTTCGCTATTCGGATCATGTGGATTTCCTGATCAATGAGTTGATGGGTGGCCCCAGTAGCAGCAGGAAAACTAACTTTGAGTCTTGTGATGATAATACGGATGACAAGGCCATCTCTGATAATAAAGACGAGATAATTAGATCTTTGATGAAAGAGGTAGTTATTGATGGTTTATATGTGTTTGCCTCGCCTGATATCTCCATTTCCCGTCTCATGTTTTTGTGCTCTATGATTATCTGCTAGTTATACTACTGTTTTTGTGTTATCTTATCATATTTCTACATTAGCTCCAAACAGAAAAATGTCCCGTGCATTTGAGTCCAATGATATTCTCTGTCTAGCGGACTAGATTCTAAATTGTGTCTGGGATGGGGATTTTGCATATTCGTAAAAGTTTCTTCTTTGCCTATTAACATCTAATTTGTTGCACTAGAAATTACACAGTAAGTGTCAGGTTCTGTGCGATTCAGAGAGGTAAAATAGCCTTATATTCCTTTATTATCTATGTGGTTTGCTGGAAGGCTTCTGATTGCATTGATATATGAATTGTTAGAATTTATGTTTGTCCCATTATTGGGCTGTTATTGTGTGTACGTGTGTTCAGTTTCCTAAGTACTAACATCTCGCATTACACTGATGTCGTTAATTAATGTGGTTTATTTCAGATACAAGATCATAAAATAAATATTCTTGTCAATTTTTTTTTTCCCTTCCTGAGAAGCATCAATATTCCATCAATTTTGGCATATGTGCAATTGCAGAATTTATCTCAATTTGGAAGCTCGTAACATGAGGAGACCATCATCATCAGGTGCTGGTGGTTACCTCCACTAGGAAGGTATATTGTAAATATTCTTTTTTCCTTTCTTTTCCTCTTCTATAAATTGGTTTTGAAGTTTCGGTGTGTAATTTCTGGTTAATTCGGTGCTCATTGCAGACCTCTTCCTTCTTCAGTCTTCTGGTAAGTAGTCAATGTATTTGAATTTTTTCCTGCAGCAATCTTTTTTTTTTCTTTTCTTTTTTCTTTACAAATTTTATTATGATTGTCTTTCAGATTGTCTAGCTGACTCATCTACTTCCGGTTATAGGAAAGATGAATACAACTGGAGAGATAAGAAAATTATGAGCTTCCTGAAAGAAGAAGTCTTTGCCTCGGCTGCCTTTGAGAACTTGCAGCTGGACAGAAAAGCCCGTAATTTAACTACTTCATCTAGGTTTGTTTCTAAGCCCTAAATTTTTTCATGCTTGAGATTCTTCTGTGATTCATATCCTGAGAAAGCAACTCTTTAGCTATAGTGAAGTCTTGAAAAATGATTTTGCTGATGGTGTCATGTGGTGTGTTAGTTGATACCATTCTTGTGAAAAGAAAAAAGAAATGAAATTAAGGAGCTTTAAAGCTTTTTTCAAGGCCGAATTTGTGTTGACTAGTAACTGATGTATTTTTAAGATAAAATAGTGAATTCGGTACCCAGAGTAAGGTATAATTTCAAAATTAGTACCCCACGTTTAAACTATCTCAATTTCAGTATCCTAACTATCGAAACACTCGCAATTTTCATACTCGGCCGTTAAGTTGTCGCTAAAATTAACAAAAAAAAAAAAAAAACTAAAATGAACTTAATGGCTGCGTATGAAAACTGCGAATGTTTTAATAGTTAGTGTATAGTTAGTGTACTGAATTTGAGATGTCTTGAATGTGTGGTATTGACATTGAAACTACAACTTAGTTTGGCTACTGAAATAGCAATTTACACTCTTTTTAATTATAAAATTAATGACAGATGTTTTGAATTTATATCTTGTGAAATCATTTCAAGACGAGATGAAAAAGGGTGAGGGATAACTGAGAAAGTCGTAGGGTATGCATATGAAATAGAAGAAATCAATTATTCGATATGATGGGGAGGAAAAGAGAAGCAATTTCAAGTTTTGAACTCGAATATAGTGAATTCATGAGGTGGAACCATTCATGTATTGTTTTCCTTTGGAAGCACATGGTTCAGATACAGAGGATTATAAAACACAGGTTGTTTCAACCTTCAACCCAGAAATTATAAGTTTTGTTCTCAATTGTAATTATTTTAAATCTACCTGTTATCTACTCAGTAGTTTAAGGGATCTGTGTTTTGATTTGTTAATATGTTTGCAGGGATGAAATATTTGAGCTCAACAGTTGTGAATATCCTTGTTGTTGGGCTAGACAAGCACCTGAGCGCCCTGATTTTCGTCTAGGCGATTGCAAAGTTACTCACGCCTAGATTGGTTAGGAGGTCCAGGCGTTGCTTAAGCGCATGTATAATTTTATTTTTTTTTACATTTTTTAAATTTATTTTCAAGATATAATAAAAGTCGATTTTAATTTTATACATGAAATATATAACAATAATGTAATAAAAAATATCTTAGTTATAAATTTATAATATTTTGAAAAAAAAAAATGTATTTAATCATATTAATTATATTTTATTAAATGTATTTTATTAGCTATATATATATGATTATAAATATAAATAAATTTATTAATTGTTGAATCGAGATTAATCACGGTACCGTCCTTCTCTCGTCTTGAGTTTTTAGATCGATTAGATCCACTCAGGTCAAAAATGTTCTTAGCTCAAATATTTTCCATTTGAAGCCCAAAGTGTACGTACTGTCTGTAGTATAGCCAATTAGCCATGCAACAAGACAACAAAAAAGGGACAAAGTCGTTTCTAATACCCAAAACGACACTGTTTCACTTAACTAAAATAAAAGAAAAACAGAATAGAAAAAGAAAGTCGCAACAAAATTTTAGCTGAAGGCAAAGAACATCAACGGTAATGACAGAAACATGTAGCTCCATCTTCACTTCAACATCCAAGCTTGATCACATGGCAATATCTTGACCATCATCAACATCCTTCCCTCAAGTTGGGCCATCTTCAACACCCTCCCATCAAGTTGGGCCAGGATGAACATGAATCGTCCTCCACTTGGGGATCATAGTAGTGAACCGCTGACCAGCAAGAACCTTTGTGAAGAGATCAACAAGCCTTGCTTGAACGACCATAAAAAATTAGAATTTTCTAAAAGAAAATAAAATATTTCTATAATTCTTTGGATAAACACGTGTAAGCAAAGAAACAAACAAAATAACCGAAACATGTATCACAATCACAAAGACTTTATGTAAATTGCAATTATCGTGGGCTCACTAAAAGAATTACAATTGTCGTGGAATCACTAAAAGCCTTACCATTTTTGAAATGTGTTCTCTTTATATAATAGATAGATAGATAGATAGCATGCAATAAGCCGATGGGAATCGAAGGTGTCCTCCACATTCTTTCATATTGATAAAAAAATAAAAAAAAAATAAAAAAAATAAAAAAATAAAACATAAAAAATAAAATCAGACTACTTTGATGAAATTATGCACTGAATTTGCATGTATGTAAAATATTAATAAAGTAATGATAAGTTGGTAAGAAAACCTACTAAGATTGTTGGGTCCTTAAGTTATAACCAAGCTTATAGTAAAGGTAGCTTTTAACTTAAAAATGTTCCCTTAGCATAAGTAATGTTGGGATTCTTAATATAAGTATTTTTCAGAAATATATTTTTGGCAGAAATATCTTTTGAATTAAAGAACAAGCCGGGGACTATATATTAATGTTAAACACAACATGCTATGAAAATTACAAGCTAATAATAAATAACATATTTTAGTTAATGGCTTACAAAACACTTCAAGATAATTTCTGTCATAAAGATTGTTTCACTAATTGCCAACAGAACCAATCAACCTATATGAACATCAAGCAGAAAATAAAAATCCAACAGAGATATAAATAAACCTACCTAAACTAAATAGGTAAAAGCTCAAGCAGACCCAAATGTTCTGTAAACATTTTCCGTATAAATGATGTTTTATCAATCACTTACATTGTCAATCACTTAAAGCCCTTGCTCCCGGGATAGAAATACTCAGCACCACTATCCTTAACCCTAAAATGGAAGTTTTGAACTTTGTTCCGTGTTTTTCCATCTTCAAGCCCTCTGTTAGTGACAGTCAACTGTCCACAAAAAAAAAAAATAAAGTATGAATATTTATTCATAAGTAGCAGGTCGAGCGAGCGACTTCTCTCGGAATTTCCTAGTTGAAAAATGGATGCAGTAATTAAGTACAAATTTATAGAATTGGAGGAGTAATTAGCTACAATCACGGAAAACCCCAAAAGCTGGCCTTAGATCTACTGATATATGAATATTTATTTATTGACATTAATAACACCAATTCAACATTTTGGCCAGGTCCATTCTAGTATAGTAGCAATCATAAATTCTTCTTCCATTGAAAATCTCGTTCAACATATATAATATATATATTTGCAACCATTACTACGAGAACCATCAACAAAAACTAAGCAACTAGAAAATAACTACTAAAGCGCAAAAAATAACATCACCCCACGAACTTGAAACAAATTTTACCTGTCCATGGACATCGGTAGCTAAACCAGTAGCCAAGGGCTCGACTTTAATCACCATGTCCGCTAGATATTCCATATGTAGTAGCAGATTAGGTTCGTCCATAGTTGTATACACATCATCATGGTTAAGGGCAACAATCGAACAACCCTATTCAAGCACGTAAGGTGAAAAATGAACAATTTTGCAACACATAGCACAACGCATAATAAAATATAAGAAATGGAGAAAATGCACAAAATTGCAAAAAGAAAACATACAAATTGCGCTCTTAAACTGTTGCAATAATGCAGAAAATCCAGGACGAAGTTGGATGACCCATTAGCATCAACTTCCAGAAGAGATACATCATCAATCATTAAAGTAACATGTTGATTGCCTTCATGTGATAGACAGACCTCAACAGCTCTCTGAATCTCGCCAAATAATGAAATAAGTCTTTCCTCTATAAGTTTTGCTCTGTCACTGTCTAACAACATTAATGACATAACAGATCCAATTAACTCTTCATCCAAATGGATCAGAAAGTAGAAAGTTAGATGCTTACTATTCTACTGCATATTGGCATCATTTACAAGTATAGATACCACCCAAAAGAAAACACAATAATGTATGAAAATACTAATCTTTGACATTAGTGCTCACCACGGTTGTCTGCCATAAGCATGTCAAAGAACATCAATTTCTTACAATCCCTCTGAACGCTTAAGTTGCAACCCTGCCAAATCCAATAAATTAATTCGTCTGAGAACTAAAAAAGCAAAAGGGTAGCTAAAATCAATCATCGGAACTTTTGACATAAACACCTTATTTGCAGCTCAAGTGCAGTCGAAGAGATAGAGAAATTTAGTGATGTACCATTTTCCGAAGAATTCGATCGTAATGAGAGAATGGGTGAGCGAAGGAGATGAAAACGAGGAGGACGTCGGAGGAGAGGGCGCTCTTCAGTAGGTGGTGCACCACGAATGCTCCGCTGGTCTCCACGCAGTCCTCTATCAAGATCATCCGCCCGCCTTTGCCGTCGAGGGCCTCGTCGAGAAGGTTGGATGGCGGGGCAATCGCCATTATTAGTAGCTCAATTCCAATTTGCGACTCGATTTGGCTTTTGAATTTGGAGACGAGGGTTTTTGGTCCTTCAAGTAGGAGGGCATTTCTGGTCGCTTTTCTTTGGTTCGTAAAGCTATGTTTTTTGTTAGTTTTATAAGAGGGCTTTTCCCACTAAATCCTCAAACTCATTCTCATTTATCAAATTGGTTTTAATTTTATTTTTTTATTTTTGTATTTTTACTTTTATTTTTTTCTAATACTCCCAATGATACTAATTTATTTCACTAGGAGTATTTTTTTAACATTCCAAATTTTAGAAAAATCATGCTAAGGATTCTTCTTTTGTTCATTTTGAAGGATCCTTAACATGATTTTTACAAAGGCTTTGATGTGCCTACTCTGAACATCAATCTATATTATATATGATCGTGTAGTTCAAACAAAAACTAGTTAAGAGATGCAGGAGGAAAACGACTTGAATCTCCACGTACAAGGAACATGTAGCACGATTTTGCACCATGGACCTGCTCATTAGAACTCAGAAAAACCGATTTTGAAGTGTGAAATTGCATATGCTGATGATAAAAAAGTTTATCAAAAGGGACGTGACATGTAATTACAGCATCCTTTTCTTTTTCTTGTGCAAAAATCTAGAAAATATTATTCATTCGGATTCCTAAAGACTTTGGAATTTCAAGAATATTGGTGCGTATAGCTATTCATTTGAGGTGCATGTTTGCATAAATCCTTTAAAAATGCATCAATCCATTAAAAATGTAACATCAATCCTCCACCATTAACTTTTCCTATTTTTTTTTTATTATTTCTTTTTCTCTCTTTTCCACCTACCCTCCCTGCCGTTCAACCCTACTCTTATCTCTTTTCCTGTTTGACTTCCTTTTTTTTCTTGCAAGTTCAACTTTCCGGTAAACGTTTGCGTGAATATTTCGGCAAATGACGAGACAAACTCCGACGAAGGATGGAAAACCCTCTCTGACAAAATTTCATCTTTCTCTTGCAAAATTTGATCATTCTCTAGCGAAAAAGGTGGCCACTGTAAGCTATGTATTTATTGAGGATTGAGAAGTCTGAATCTAGTCTTTTATTCATATTTTTTTTCCTAAAACCTTGTTTGTCAGTTATTAAAGATTCAATTTTGAATATTGGCCACTGTAAGCTATGTATTTATTGAGGACAGAGAAGTCTGAATCTAGTCTTTTATTCATATTTTTTTTTTCCCTAAAACCTTGTTTGTCATTTGTTAAAGATTCAATTTTGAATATTATTCATTCTATTCACACTAAAAGAAATAAGGTGACAATAATCTCTTTGTTGTTCATATCTACCAAGAAACCATTTATGTTGGGTTATGCCAGGTTAAGTTTTTTCTCATAGATGATCATTGTACCACTGATGCGGTACCTCTGTTTGCGCAGTTTAGTACCTCTGACATTAGTATTTGATACTAGTTTGTCTGCTGCGTTGAAGTTTCATTATATCCAACTCATTTGAAATTGTATATTATTGTTTGATACAATAGAATAGGCACAAACTGAGTTATTAAGGAGTTGTTATTACAATAATGAATTGTTTGTGTTTTCTATACACGTCGGATTGAGTTTTGAAGAAATGTACATCCTTACTTGTAAGACGTGGTCGGGTGTGTATTCACAATCTTTCATCTTATGCTACATTGCGCCCAATGAAAAAAAAAAAAGAAAATGTGAATTTGTCTGATGATGACGATATCAAGAACGTGTGTGTTGGAAAGTAAGCATTTAATTGTGTTCTCTAAATCTATATATATTGAAAAAGAGAGGTCAATAAATCATTTATGAAAACTTTTAAAAAAATAATGAGTCAACTATTTGACTTACTATTATAAGTAATATTCTAAAACACATGTGATAATGATTTTCAAAAATTGTGGTAATCTGTTAGGATGTGATAGTGATAATGTTTTATCCCTGTTTTTTTGGAAATATCTTTGATAATCTGTTCAAATTTTTTTGCCTTTTTTTTAACAACTTTAACAACCTACACAGATTTTTTTAACAACTTTAACGATTATTATGCAAATTAATTAAATCTAATTTTTTACTAACATAAAGGAATCTAACCCGTCGTTGACTAGCTCTGTGGCGTAACTAATTAGTGATGTTTCCATATCCGTCATTAGTGATTCCTTTGAGCACACATCATTAGGGGTGTTCACGGTCCGGTTTTAACCGGAAAAAACCGTCAATCCGGACCGCGGATCGGTTAAATGGTCAGTTAAAATAGCCTTAAAAAATCCGGTGGTTAATTTTTTTAAAAATCCGGAATAACCGGTCCGGTTAACGGATTACCTGCGGCAAACCGCCGGTTTAACCGGACCGGACCGGTAAATATTAAAAAACTATAACAAATATATATATATACATTCAGTCATTCACTATGGCCGACAAATACAATACATTCACTATGAATGCTTTGCTTTTATTATTTCAGGTGTATAAACTGACTGAAAAATGAATGTTTGCTTGAGTTCAGTTTGCATAATTAATCTTCATCATTTTTGTATTTTTATGTTTATGGGAGGAAATGTGCATTTTTATGCTTATGAGACGAATTGTGTACTTTTTATTTCATTATTGTGTTTTTCTTAATTTTTAAGCCCAAATAATCTCTTTAGGACCCAAAATTGAAAAACAAAAATTAAGCCCAAAATGAAAAAAAAATAAAAATTGAAGGCCCAAAACAAGTTTTGGATTTAACCGGTTAACCGCCAAACCGGACCGTCCAATGCGGTCCGGATTGTGGTCGGTTAAAAAATAAAATCGGTCCGGTTATGGACAAGAAAAAAAATTAACCGTTAGGTCCGGTTTGGTCATGGTTTGGGCTAAAACCGGACCAATCCGGACCGTGAACACCCCTACACATCATCATTCTCTTTCTCCTCAGAGTCGAGCCCTCTAATTTCCGATTGCGTGTCTTTTGGGACAACAGTTTTCACTTCTACCCCCTTCTCCACAACAGAGAACTCGCTAATTCCACCCTCGCTTTCACAAACCTTCTCACCTGCAGCATCTGAACAAAAATTATCCGACTCCAAATTATTCTTCGCCAACTTACCATAATCCTTTTCCAGCTCGGAGCCCGACAAAGGCAAGACTTCGTGAAGGTCCTTCACGTCCTCAGACGACTGGTCAAACGTCGACAGCCTGGCAGGGAGACTCTCCACCCGGCGAATCACACTCATCTCACCTGTGATAGAGTGGTGCTGGAACACGCGGTGGCCAGATTGGTGACCCACTGCGGCAGGAGCTCCATCTTGGAGGTTGTTATGTGCGGGATGCCGATGATCGGGTGGCCTACCTACGCGGAGCAGAAAATGAACAGGGTGTTCATGGTAGAGAAGATGGGGGTAGCGCTGCCGCTGGATGACGGGGACGACGAGTTTCGTGGTGGCGGCGGAGCAGAAGAAGTGGGTAAAAATTGGTTCTTTTTCTTCATATGCCCTAATTTTAATGCACTTTAATTGTGCTTTGTGCGTGTTTATGTGGTTTGTGGATATGGTGAAAAAATAAAATCGATATTGTTCATGCAGGATGTAAATAATGATGGGTTTAGGCATAAACTGGCTGAAGAGTTTCGATGATAATAATAGTCAATAACAGTTAAGATGTTTTTAGGGAGGTTGAAATCAAGAGAGACATTGTAACATGTAATAGCTATCATACACTTGTATGTGAATCTGTATACTTGTGAT